GAGCCCAGACACAAGCACTTTTGTTTCCCTTGGGTCCTTCTCTATAGAGGTCACATTTGCCTTTTCACAGTCAGAGGATTCCTGTGTGGGGGTGGCTGCTGCTGACCTTCTGAGGGGAAGCACCCAACTTGTTCTCTATCCACAGGCCTGGTCCATAAATGTGCAAAACAAGAATATGTAATACAGTGGGAATTGCATAAGCCCTACCATACCCATGCCTACTTCTCTTTTTCACGTGGATAGCTTTTCCAGGACAACAAGTAATTTTATGTACTGGATTTTAAGAAAACTGCATCTCATTAACTTGGCAGCAGGCCTGGGAAATCAGTTTATGAAGAAATAATGCATTTTTGCCTTAAGACTGGAGTGGCTCTACTTTATTCATATGTACAGAAAGCAGTGATTAAAGAAACAGAAGTGTCTTTAAAGATTATTTATACCAAGGGACTCAAATAGCTGCATCGTGTGGGACAAGTATGTGTTTTAATGCTTTGATACATGATATGGCACCACAGTAATTCATTAAACATGGTGGTGTGGAATCTTGATGCTGAAGGCACGTGATTTGTTTTGCTGGACCAACTAAAAGAAGACCCATAACTAGATCATACAGAATGAAAAAAAAATTTTTTTTTTTCTGATTAATGCTGGCAATTACTACTGCATTTGTTACAAAGCAGAAATAGGCCTTTGGCCAAAGCCAGCTTTTTGCATTCCCTTGAATAGTCAGTGGTGCTAATACAGTATAAACTGAACTGGATTTGGCTCTGGCATTCAAGCACAAGCTACTCTTTCACAAGAACGCCCTTCTGTTTTCTCATTTGCCTTGCAAGCAGTAAATCTTTCTAGTCATTTCATGCTACTCTCCCAAATATTGTTAGAATGGGCCAAGTACAATGCTTCAGTTTCTTTTTGTGGTGCAAGGATTTAGCAGTCAAATATGGAAACACAGATGAAGCTTTTAAAATATATGGTAGTACTTTCATGAAGATATAGCAACATTTGAAAAAATGTTTATTTTTTTCTCTACGTTATTCCAACCCCAATTAATTTATGTTTTCTGCTGAGAAAATAATATTGATCATAAAAATGAAATGCTGGTTGGAAATACTTAGGCTTCTGTAATAGAATATTTCTTTCAGGATGAAATATGAGAATTATGTACTTGATTTTGCTGCTGCTGAAGCCAGTGGCTGAATGCCCAATTGCCTTCAACTAGAGCAGAATTGAGTCTTCTCTTTTGCAGAAGGATATTTTAAACAGTCAGTAATTCTTAATCTCTGTGTTAAAGCACTTCCATTTGCTAAATTTTTATTTCTGTTTCAAGCCTGAAGCCATTTGGCTGAAATTGTATTTGATGTATTTTCTGGAAGTCTGTTTTCTTAGTCTGCTTCAGAGTGTGTTTCTGTATTCTCAAAAAGGAAAGAGCACATTTATTACAGTCACATCTCTAGACGGTTTCCCTCTCATATTTGAAAACAAAAAAGGTGTATGTGACAAGATGCTGTTTCTATGAAGTGGGCCTTCCCACTTCAAAGAAAATGATGTTCCTTTAGTGCAATTGCATGTGTTTGAGACAGATACATAAAAGGCCCAAAATTTTTGTTAAATAATGTGAGCATTTGATGAATGATTTTTTTTTTTTTTTTTAATAAGAGACAACATGTATCATCAGCATAGTGTGTTTCTTAGCTTGGATGTTGACAATGTGTTAAAGGCATCTATTTAACTGTGACATAGAAAGTAAAAGTGAACCTGGAATCTTTCTGGAGCTTCACCTCTAAAGCATAATAAATTGGTCATTCGCCTCTTTTAAAAATGTGATGAAAAGAAAAAATGTTATGGAATTTCAGAGGTTTATCATCTACTTAGTTTTTCTCTTCAGGGTTTTACTGCAACCAAGTGGAAACGCATTAATTTTTTTGATAGAGTTTAGTCATCTCGTAAGCACTCCAGAAACCAGACAGTTAAAAGTAGAAGATTAAGTATCATCAGTCACAGAAAGATCGTGAGGGATGAGAAGAGTGTATGTATTCAGTAGTGGTTTCCAAAACCTGAAGACAACCTCAGAAAAATGTGTGTGCTTGGAGCATGATTTAGCACCTGATTGTGAAATAATTGTTTCTGCTGATTTCAAGCAATGGTCTTATATGGTATATTCCGGGGCACAATTTGCAACAAATTCAGATTGAAATTATAAGTGATAACCAAAAAGTTATTGAGGAGTGGTAAATAACGGCAAGGAGTATTATTCCATGAAATAAAATATGGGCAAAGTTACAAACTCTTTGATGGACCTTTAAATGGGTAAAATGCTGTTAAAATGAAGTCAGTCTTCCATCTCTTCCTTCTAACCTCTCTGCTTTACCTTTCTTTCATAGACTGTGCTCAAGTTCTGAAACAGATGTGGGGACTAGGGGCAGACCGTCACCCATTTTCCAGAGCATATCTTCTTCCTCAGGAGCCACAAAGCATCCTAGGCAGACTGTAAAACCGTGTAGAGGTGAACAGACCTGCTTCAAACAGGAAGCTGTTAGACCTATGACTCAGACTCTAAAGACCTGGTAGAAAAAGTAATGTAAAGTTCTGGTTTTGCAGAATTCCTGTAAAAAGGTTCTTGTAAAGCCATGGAATTACTAGTATCTTGTCTCTATGCAAAAGTGACAGGAATAGGGCTAAGGGAGTTACCAATAGAAATCTTTTTCACAACTCGGCTTCTAGCAGACTCCTGAGAGTCTGAAGGAGAACAAAAAACCCAATACTAATCCACCAAACAACAACGACAACAACAAAATACCCCAAACAAACAAAAAAGAGTTGAAGAGTTAGTGAGTTCTCTTGCTGCGCCATCTATTCTTCTTGTAAGCAAAGGAAGTATCAATATCTGTGCCCTGCAGTAGATATTAATCTCCCTCGTAGTTTTAGATCCTGTCCTCTTCTCTGTAGAAACAAAACACCTTTGGCATACATATAGATCATAGTCTCTACACGTGATATTAAGGCTGAAATTCTTTTTTGTGTTTATGTTGAATTCTGAATAGTACTTAAGACAGCTATTTATGCGTCAAATAACTAAGTCTCAACACAAAATTAGTCTCTGTTCTCTTTGCCCAAAGCCTGATGCCTTCCATTTCCTGGTAATACCCAGAGTTTTAAATCTTGTAAAGTTGACCTACTAGCTTGCATTTCCAGAGATAAACACCTAAGACTTTTCCAAAGCTGCAGTTTCTTTACAGTGCCTCTGCTGTAGTGTGCTGGAAAGTATGATGAGAATTGACATTTTTGATGTCTGTGATTTTCCCTCTTTGCCTGTTGAAGATTTAATACTGTTTGCCTGCTTGTTCTCCATCTGTCCAGAAAGAACATTCATGCCTTTTCTATAACAGTGGGCTGAAGGCTACTCTGTTTAGAGTATTAGTATGTATTAGAGTATTAGAAATTTACTATGCTGCTCATTTGGATTAAAAATAGAAGTAATTTCAGAAATGCATGGTGGAGGGGTGTGTGTGTCATTTTTGTTGGCAGCATTATGAGAAGTGTGAGGTCTTGTCTTATGTTAGAATTTTATCTTGTTTGTCATATCTCTCCTGATAAATCAAATTGGACTGAATAGCTTCTCTGAGTCACCAGAAAATAAAAGCTCATGGGATTAGCAGGGTTTCTTTCAATCAATGGACCTTGAAGTGATGCACACTTCTAAGCAGCACTGTTGTTCCTCTATGTCCTCCTGTGCACGAGGAGCTGCAATTATGATAAGCATGATGAATGTGTCAGACTGCAGTGCCTGGCAGTCCTCTGGAAATTCAATTGTTTGGACCTGTGAAAGAGCCACCTGACTTCTCTACTTTGTAGGTGGTGAAAAAGTAAAGCAATAAGATAAAGTGGTCTTGGGCATAGAACTTTCTCCACACACCCAGCCTTGCATCATCCTCGCTGTAAATGAAGACAACCCATGGTGGCAGTGCTGCCTGGCGTTATAGATCTCGGCTGCTCCAAAGCAGGATCAGTGAACAGATACTGCCTGTAACCCAGATAATTGGCTACAGTAGTTACCGCTTCTCCTTTCAGCGTGATACTGTTTCAAATATCTATTCCCTTGATATCTCCAAATGTCTCAATTTCATCTTCATCCTCATGCTGATGAAAACTAGAGTCCTGATCTCACCATATGAAATCAATCCATGAAAGAGATACGTAGTTGTCACTGTTGGCCAGTGTCTTGCAAGCATCTTGGATGAGCTCTCAGGGGTAATGTAAAGGAGGAAGTAAAAATGTGTTCACGGAATACACCAGGAGAGTGTCTCCTGGGTAAAGGTAAGGGAGGGGAAAGAGATCATCGCTGGAGAAAGGAATAAACAAGATAATCTGCCCAGCAGATTATTGTAATTCGTGACTGAGGACACTTAATAGGATAAGGGCAGAAAAAAGTACAGGTATGTGCCATCGAAAGGTTTTAATTTCATGGAGTGTGGGTCAGTGAAGCACTCTGCAAAGAATGCAGAAGACTGAGCAAGAGGACTGGCTGGTGGGAAGGACCAGCATAAAGATACAGGAAACAAAGCTGAAAGTTATTTCATGAAAATAGTGGGAGCAGAGGGATGGCTTTTGGAGGGAAATATTTTTAGCTGAGGAAAATGCCCATTATCTTTTGCTGTATTTTCATTTATACAGCTGTAACATGTTCTAAACCAGAACTGTATTTTCCTCTGTGTTTGGAAGGTCCCTTGCATGCTTTTGTATGTTAGAGAAAGCAGTAGATAATATACAAGTAGGCTATTAGTGCCTACAGAATAAGTCTATGTTTGAAGTAATGTGGGGTTTTTTTTGTCTGTAAAGATTCTTCCACCAAAATCTAGGATTTTTGTACAGGTAAAAAGTGCATATGAGTTTTTTCTTAAGTTGACTAAATCTCCATCAGTGAAATAATATTGTTTTAGTTTATTATTTATTTATCCTTGCTTTAATGATGAGTTATTTCTCTTACAGTTGGTGTTTGCAGGCAGGAGATGCTGCAGAAGAAGAATGCTGTTTTGGTGGATGGGGTCATCCTAAATGGTCCAATAATGGACTCAAAAGCAGGAGAGAAGTTTGTGGAAGAGGCCTGTAAGATTATAATGGAAGAAGTTGTCCAGAAAGCAGATGATGTAACAGAAAAGGTAAAGCCATAGAGTGTTGTTGAGACTTTGTAGTGAAGCTCATGAACAATAAATCAATTTCTTATAAGCTGTATTTTATTGCACTCTAAGTAGCCTCAAAATTGCTTCTAGTCTGTGCTTAGCTCAAAAATAAAATACAGCCTTACAAATTAATAAAGAATGTATTATAAAATATTCCAATAACATAATTAGCATACATTAGCATACATGCCAGAAAATGATGGTGTTTTTTTAAAATCTCAGAATACAAAGGTCATTTTCTTTGTGATCACAAAGGGCTGTAGTGTTTCTCATGTTTGGAGTGGGGTTGAGTTATTTGTTTGCCCCTCAGGGACATTGGTTTTGGAGAAGGAGGGAAGTGGGTGTGGTACCACTGGAGAGGACAACATTATAAGATTGCTGTGGGTTCTGCAGAACCTGGTTAAGAGACTGTATGGGAAGAAGTCCTGCAAATAAACCATGCTTGCCTTTGGGCATGCACTGCTTGCTCCCAACCCTTGGCAGAGCAGCATCTGAAAATACTGTGATTACAAATCCTTACCTAAGGACAGGATTTGAGCTGCAGGCCTCTTTCTTTTCTGCCTTTCAGCATTTCGTGCTCTAATGTTCATGGTTGAGTGTTGCCTGAGACATGATAAAACCAACATCCCATGAGGCCAGTTTACTGGATGTATTTTCTGGTGGCATGCTGCCCTGTCATGGGAAGTTTTGTGAAAGCAGTGCAGAATGGAGTGATTACTTTGTACCTCTATAACCTCTTGCTCCTGGCTAAGCTGTTCACTGATGCTGTCTGCCCTGCTCCTCATCTCTAGGTCTGTGAGTGGCAAGCCCCTGAAAAGCTTAAGCAGATTCTTGACCTGGAAATGAGGGACACTGGAGAATGTCATGAGAAGATCCTGCAGCTCTGCCGTGATGTTATAAAATACAGCGTCAAAACCAGTAGGAATGGGATTTTAAGCACAGTTGCTCTGCATGCTGACTTAGATAGGATAATGTTTACAAAGCCCTGTCACCTTTTAAGGGGACTGGGAGCAGGAATGCTTGTTTCCCTCCTGCCTATACAAGTGTGCAAACAGTTGTTTTACTGAATTCTGGTCACCATAGGTTTGATTAAAATATGTAATAATGGTAAACTAATCAAAAAGTAATTAACATAATGCCATTTGCATTAATAGTAGATTCTGTAATTCTGAAGTCTTGGGAAAGTCATTTAGACAAATGATATGACAGTCTAGCAAAATAGGCAGGAGAAGGACCTTTTTGTGTGATTTCCTGCTGTCTGAGTGATGCGATTTGGAGTCACCATCATTGCCCTCATGTGTTCGTTGTGATGATTACCCTCCATTTGGTATTGTTCTATTTGGGCAATAATCTTGTAGGGTGTTAATTTGCTGATAGGCAGTAATTCCTGTTCCAGACACCATGAGAAGAGAGCCTGCAGTGTTTCAGAGACAGTACTCCACAGCTCTGCAGGATTAGCTCTCTACAGCTAACCTTTCTGCAGCATGTGCAGGGTAATTCAATCTTGGTGAAAAGGGATGGGCAGCACCTGTTCAGGAAATAGCACTGTGAATCCGTAGCTCAGGATTTCAGATGTTGTACGGCTAAGGCTGTATTTTGGTAAGAAAGACATTTGATGTAGTTAGTTGTGCATTTCTGGGCTGCATTCCCTGCTACAAGCACTGTTGCTGCAGAGTAAAACTGTAAAATAATTTTGAAATGGGACTTATGCTTCTGAAAACCACAGAATATCAGTAATGATACTGATCTGCAGGGGGAGTGTACTAATAATATACAGATATAATTACAGAGTTAGTGGAAGATGTTCTGTTTATCTCACTTTTGCAAATTGCCTTTAGATTATAATTTATTACACTATGTCACCTTAGCAAGGATGTCATATATAAAAATAAGCCTTTAATTTGAGTATGGACATTTACTGAAGCCCCAGTTATAATATAAATGGAGCCATACTGTTTACCTGGTTTTGCATGTAAAAATGCTGTGCTATGGATTAAAATTTAGGTGGTGACCCCACTGTTGAACTGAGTTGTTTTTATAGGTAGAAATAGTACAGAATTTTATCAAAATTAGTTATATCTCAGTGTTTCAAGGCAGGTAAACAAATTCTCTTAACTTCTCATTCATTTTAAGTACACAGCAAAATTTTCCAAGTTGTTGGACTGCCTTTCTGTCTGTGTTGAGACTTTGGTGGGAGAAAAAGCTTGGGGGATAGCAGATTCCTGTATTCTACTGCTTAGCAAAATTTGGCTGAGCATTGACTGTGGCCTCTCAAAACTATTGTTTAAAGCCACTAGGTATATTCAATTGTCAATCCCTTTTATTTTTTGATTTATAAAACTTGTGAACAGCTCACATTTATTCTGTGCACCGCTTGTGTTTATCAAGACATGTTTTGAGGTTTGAAAGAGCTTATTAAATTTACTTTCAAAGGAATGTCTAACTTTAGGAAAGGACAGCAAATCTAGAGAATACTGAGAGAATGGAGTCAATAGTGGTTTGCAATAATCAGCATTCAACTGAGAGGGAGTGTGATGTATTGTCTTTTCTGGAATATCCTGTCACTTGCTTTTCATCTGTATTTTCAGATCATCCAAGATTTTTCAATCAGCTGTATGCTGGAATAGATCATTACTCGTTAGTGGCTCGTTTCATTACAGAAGCTCTGAACCCCAGTGTGTAAGTGTGGTTCTTTGTCCTCTTGATGATGAGTTAACATAACATGATTTTGGGAATAACAGCTTCTTTGGCCTCGTTGCTTCTGATTTCTGTTTTCAGTGTTACAGAAGAGGTAGGAATTGTGCAAGACTTTGGGAGAGAAAACAGGCTGATTCTGATTGGATGAAGATGGGGTTTAAGAGAAGAGATTTTTTTCTTTATGCTGTTAAACCTAGACTTTTACCTCACTTAGTACATAAAAATGAATTAATCAGACTTCAATTAGTTGTTCATTCCTTTGAGGCATTCTGCACAGAGTTGAATGCAAATGGTTACCTGTCTACTGTTTACTTGCAAATGTAAAGCAGAAATTTAAGCATGTGACCTACATTAAGAGCAAACTGGTGTACTGCTTTGGGAGTGGGAGTGTCAATGAGATGCTGCCAGAAACTAAGCAATTGCTCTACTGGATCGAATTCATGATGTTTTTAGTTAGAGTCCTACTGCTGGTGGTGATCAGCTGCTGATAGATTAGAGAAAGGAGCAAGAAGCCTTTATCTAGTTTTAGCAATGCTCTGTGCCATGAGTTCTGTAGTTTTCATATCAATTATCATGCTATCATTTCTCTTTAGATACACATATGAAGTATCCCCTGTGTTTCTCTTGGTGGAAGAAGCAGTCATCAAGAAAATGATTGAATTCATAGGCTGGGAAGAAGGGGATGGTATATTTAATCCAGGTAGGAACTGTTCAGATCTCAGTCTGAGTCATTATAAACTGCCTAATTCCATTAATTCTATGAACACTGGAGTCATGTAGAATATTTGAAAATGAATGCAAAAGTGAAAAGTGTAGTGATACACAAAACTACTCAATCTAGGCTTATTTTATGTGTTTCTAGTAATAATTCAGTGATTCTGATCAGTGAATGAATGAATGAAAACACTTATACATTAAATATAATTATATAGAATTATTTGAAATTAATTGTTTGTAGCTGATGCCCTTCCTGACCTCATTGGAAGGAGTCAGCTGACAGACAGGGAGCTGATTTATGTGCTAGATGTCAACCCATGGTGCCTGAGGACATAGATCTGTGTATCCTGCCTATGAGCTGAGGGAGCAAGTGTTTACAAGATCTTAACCCCTTTGAATTTTTATAATTTTATTAAATGTTATGATAAGACAGGTCAAACAGGTATGTCTTAAGCTGCTTGATAAAGCATGCTTTTATAATATTCTGTAAGGCAGTGTTTCTACCCACTGCACTGAAATTATGAAGCATAATGGTGATATTTCACAGATTATTCAGATAACAAATAATTGGACTAGATGTGAAGCTTTTGTATCTATTTTGGGAGTGAGAAAGAAATTAAATGAGTACATGAGTTTAAAGTCCCTTCCCCAAACTGAAACAAAGTCAGTAATTCTAGCCTACATGAGTATAAGAAAAATAAATAAGCTAAAAATCCCTATTTTTTTAATATATAACTGGTATGGAATTTTTTTTCCCCATCAAATTTGATGTGTATTTCTGGTAGAAGCGTTACTTTTACAGGAGAATTTCTGGCTTAAAACTTAGTGATCTACTGAGAAAAGATAAATTAATTGTCCTTTTTTTTGGTTCTAGTTTTACATAAGAGTTTTTCTTACTACTTTGGTTTTGTTCTTCTAGGAATAAAACCTGTCCTGAGTGAATAAAACTTATCCAGATCTTACCTTGCAATTCCCACTCACTATGTTTATTTTGTTTTTTTTTTCCCAAAGATCTTTTTCTCCCATGGTCCTCTGAGGTCTGGTTGCCCAAGAGATCTCCGAGGCTCTGAGCTTGGTGCAGGCAGCTGAGCTTGCTCTGCTTCCGTGTAGAGGGGAAGGTGCTGTGGCAGGGTTTTCTCTGTTGGGAAGGACTGCTTGGGCACAGCTCTTATTCCTCAGGAAATATCCCCAAAGAGCCTCCAAACAGGCTCCATTTCCATGCCTGCTGCAGAGCCCAAGGCTCATTTTATGTATGTAGCCTTCAGAGGAGGAAATAAATTGTGATGGATGCATTACTAGGATGCCTGTGGGGTTTATTTTTCCCTTACTAGGTCAAGCACTCAGATGCAGGGAAGGTACCTGTACTGTGGCTAATGCAGTATTTGTATGTCTCCTTTTGCAGGTGGCTCTGTCTCTAATATGTATGCTATGAACTTAGCAAGGTACAAATTTTGCCCTGAGATAAAGGAGAAAGGGCTTTCAGGTCTGCCAAGACTAGTTCTGTTCGCTTCGGAAGAGGTAAAATGAAAACAAAGAAAAGCTTTTTCAACTTTATTTTTTCAGTAGCATCAAAATTATATCATTTGCATATCTGATGGGACACTGGTACAATAATTCTGACATCAGTGTATGATGTGGAATATTGGAGCTAAGTGGAGAAGTCTGATGGTTAATTTCCCTGCAGAAGCTTTCTTGCTTTCAGAAAACAAACACAGATGTTCCTGCTTGGAAAACTGCTGATATAAGAATAGGTTGTGCATGGGGTAAACCTGAAGCAGAATGCATGTGCTGAATTGTGGAGGTCTGCAGCATTTGATTTCCCACAACATTAAGTCTAGCAGGAGCTGTAGGTAGGTTTTGGATGTCAAAGGTTTTTTTCTGCATGTTTAATTTGTACTAAACTGAGCACTTGTGGGCCTGTGAGATGGCTCTCTGCAGCTCTCATTTTGCCCTGTGTCTGAGTACAGATTGGTTGTAGTACAGAGTCAAACCCACCATATGCCTCTCAGAAAAAAAAAAGCTGGACCTTTAGACATTTTTTTCTTTAAATAATTGAAAATACGTGGCTAGTTTTTAAAGTTTTTGAATAATATCTGTCCAAAACACCTGTGGGAAATTGAGTTACATTCATACGTTTATTCTGAAGGTAGTTTATGGAGTTTTTTTTCTCTTCCCTGTCCCTTCAGTTTTGAGAGTTTATAATTTGATTAGTGCAGAGTTGTTATTGATTCTGACTCTACTATAGTAAAGACCCCAGTGGAAGCCTGCACAAAACCTTGTTGTAATAGAAAATATAGACTTAGTAGAATAATTTTAGCTCAGACGTTTATGCTCCAAACAGTTTGCAGTATAAATTGTTGAGAGGCTTATTTTGAAGAAGCCTGGGGGATGAAGGCATTCTTTGTTTTCCAAGATAACATGTCTTTTGGAACTGAGCCCACATGTCCTAAATAAAGGTGGTTTGTTAGTTTTTTTCCCCAACAAAATATATTTTCTTGTTTGTTTTCTTTCTTTTTTCCTGAAAAGTGTGTGTGTGAAATGACATGCCAGCTCATACTTAATCCATCAAGTTACATCTTCAAAATAGTTAAGGAGGAGAAAATGAGTTTGAAGCAAATTCCATCAATGCTTTTGAAGTGAAGCCCATGAAACTTCTAAAATGAAGTAACATTTTATTTCGTTGCATGGTTTAACTACAATATATTTTCTTGCTCTGAAATAAGCAAATATTTAATTTCATGTCAAAAGAAATTTTAATTGGCTACCAGAATAAATTTATTTTTATGTCTTTGCTTCACCAGGAAGACCAAAACCATAAAACATAGAGCTGACCAGGAAAAATAAATTGGTAAATTATTTGTAAGGCCATGCTTTTGATCTCTAATACTTTGTTTGCTTCACACAACCACATAGTCTTTAGTGTTCAATTATTTACTGTAAAGCTGATGTTTTTAATGGCTAGATAATGCGACTATTTTCCGAGATTACTCGTGTTTATTCAGTGTTATGAGGGAGGAAAAGGGAATATTAATTTATACTTATTTTAGATCTGCCTTTACTGAGTCCAAGCTACATGACCTTTTGGAAACTTTTGTTCAGATGTGCCATATTGAGAATATATGTAATCAGTTTTTAACATAATACTTTTAATCTGGATATTTCTTTCTCCTTTTTTGGAAAGCAAACTGTGAAAAGTGAATTAGTTGGCACTCTTGTGACTGTAGCTGCTAAATGTTCTTTGGTGTATTTTTTCTTAAAATGATGCAATGTGATTTAACATAATGACTTCTAGTAATGAAGAGGGGAGAAGAAATTCTTACATGTTTTCAATCAATATAACTAAAAGGATGAGGACTGAGCACTTTGACTTTTTGAATGTCACACCCTTGGCCTTGCCCATCAATCCAGCCTGTTCAGATTCCTCTGAAAATCCTTCCTACCCTCCAGCAGATCAATCTCCCACCCAGCTCGGTGTCATCTGTGAGCTTCCTGAGGGTACAGTCAATCCCCTCATCCAAACATCCTTAGTTTTTGCTGGATGTTTTTATGTTGACTTTGTTTTAACTGAAGAGGTACCTGGAGAAGCAAATTGTCAACTTCCCCCAACAAAACAAACAAACAAAAAATAAAACAATACTTGGAGAAGTTGACAGCCTAGGTCATTATGAATCAGGCAAGAAGAGCATTGCCATGGAGAAGCCATGAGACAATAATGAACTGAGTATTAATAAGTCAAAAGCCTTGACTGTTCAAGGCCCTTGTGCCATTTCAGGGCTTGGCTGCAGTGCTGTGCTGTCATAAAATTATTTTTGCCTTGATTTGCAAAGTCTCTAAGTCTCAGTTTGGCACTTGTCAGGTTGAAAGAGTTGCCCTGCTGCAGGGCAGGGGAATGCACAGACTTTCAGTGACTTATGTGATCGGGGGCTATGTTTTTTTGTATGTTTTTGGATAACATAAAGATGTATATTTAATGCATGGCCCACTCAGGGTCCTCACATATCGTGCTTGCCCCTCAGGAATAAAAAGGCTCCTTGTTCCTGCAAGTAAATGCTTAGATATTTAAAACTGGTGATACACAGTGGGCACTGTTTATACTGCTACTCTGTAATACTCTCACTGGATCATTACAGAGTGATTCTGCTTGAGACAGGAGCAGCAGAAGAGTAATTGTTATATCCCACTTTCTGGAGGCATGATTAGTGGCTCTGTAGGAGATAAATATACTTCTAGTTATAGATATCAGCTCACCCTTTTATTCCCTTTTGCTATTTGAGTCCCATCTAAACTTTATTCTGGCACAAGTATGTGTTACATTGATCTGAAAGGCAGAAATCTGATAAGTTTGAGGTAAGTAAGGGTAGGAGAAGATGTGTAAACGGTTGAAATGTACATGCTGATATGAGCAGTTTTTTAGATGAAATGAAATGAAATTCCTCCCCAGTGCAACTTGATCATGAAAGTAATAAAGTGAGAGAACACAACATTAACTTATCATGTTGTCCCCTGTTAGAATTACAACAGACAAAAATGGGTAATAAAGCAATCTCATAATAATGTAATTGCTTTATGCAATTATGTTTCCAGGAAACTTTTTAAAACCCAGAAAATACAAATTTATCTTCTGTTTTAATGAGCACAGGTAGGAAGTGCCTTGTCTTTGTAAACATTATTAGGAAATGGAAACTATGTCTAGATAAAGGTAAAATAGTACAGCAGCACATCTTAAATGCACCAATACTCCAATTTGATCTTGTGCTCAAAGATGGTAATTTCTTACCACAAATGGCTACAGATTTAATAATTTTTCCAGGCAAACTCAACTGTGAAAGACGTGGCAAGAGAAATGTGAACTCACAGTATTTAAAATAGAAATATCCAGATGAAAAGTATTTTCTCCTTTTTTGGAAAAGAAACTATGAAAAGTGAATTAGTTGGCACTCTTGTGACTGTAGCTGCTAAATGTTCTTTGGTGTATTTTTTCTTAAAATGATGCAATGTGATTTAGCATAATGACTTCTAGTAATGAAGAAGGGGGAAGAAATTCTTACGTGTTTTTAGTCAATGTAACTGAAATACCTCTTTTTTCATCAAAGGAAGCATATTCCAAACCTATGTAATATTATGAGTCTTGTTCTATTTTCTGTCCTACTGAAGAACAGAATTTCCCAAGAAGTACAGAAGTACTTCTGGAGGAAAAATAATGTATTTGCAGCCTGTTTGTTTTTGTATTCCCTCTATTCTTCTCTTTTCCTCTGCTTTTTGGTATAATCTCTTGGGTACTCAAGCCTCTTTTATCTTTCTTCCAGTCTCTCATACCATTGTTTATAATAAAATATATAATTTACTGGTTGTCTGCTTACTAGTATACTGAATTTGCAGGTCTGCTACTTACTCAGTTTGGAGCAATCTGATTATTCTTGGTGATTCATACCTTTCATTTGAAATTAATGGCTAGATATCAGTGATGGAAGCAACTTGTATTCTGAGTGATTCACTAGTCAATCAAAAACATCTCCAAACTTCTGCTGAACAACACACAGCCACTTACAATCATTATTACCTTTATTGATGTAATGTAAGACTAATTATCCACCTATGTATGTTATTATTCTTGTAACAGTCTAAATGACTGAGCCCTAAAGGCCTTGTGGATGTGTCATGTTGCAAATTAAGCTTTCTTAAAACTACTCAGTAGCATCAGGTACTGTCTTTGTATGCCTTTGTTTAAAAAGTGGGTGATGGTGGGGGAAACATCTTTGTCAAAATGAAAAAGAGCCCTCTGAGATTATCCATCTCATCAAAAGAATCGTGACAGGCTTTAATACCCTTAATATATTCATGCCCACACATTAAAATGTTGTACATTTTTCATAATTATGTTCTGCAGTAACTGCATTTGTGTGAACTCTCAGGAAGAAAATGGAATTAATTAACCACCTGGCTTCACCTCCTGTATGAAAAGTAACAATTCTAGACATCTTTGCATTTGCTGGAGTATGCATTGTTTTAACCCTTCAGTAATTATGTGTAAAAGAGACAATTTTGTTTTTGTGAGAAGGGCAGTGATAACCCAAGGGTTGGATGGTCTTGGTTCTGAGAAGAACTGTCTAGTCCTATGGGATGTGGTGTACTCTCAAAAGTGACTCCACTGGTATAGGTGGTAGTTTTGATGTCTAAATATCTTCAGGTTAAGAAGGTTACTGTATCTTGAATTTCCAGGCTAATCTTGAAGACAAATTAAGCAGAGATCAGTGTACTCTTGTTCTGGAATAAGACACAGTGCTCTTGCGCTGGAATAACAGTATCCACAGTACAGCAGGTCTTATAAAGGTGAATTTTGGAAATATGGTTAAATAAACCATTATTATTTGTTGAAAAGAAAAAAGTTTGTAAAAAGTATATAGTGGTAAAAAGTATATGTGAGCTTGAATAGCATTCTCACCTTAGTCATTTTACCACATTCTGATTAAATAAACTCCCATTTCTAAAGTCTTCTTTTAGACTGACTTTTCAGGCTTCATAGACTGATGCCCTTTATTCAGTGCAAAGTGAGAAGTGGGCTGCATGTGTTTGTGTACCCATTCAGATATGTCTCTGTGATGAGACCTAGCTAAAATTCTTTGCTAAAATAGTAACTCAATTTTCTGAAAAATGCAGACTGGCCCACACTGGAACCTTTTGCAAAACCCACAGTAAAGTCTGAAGGTGTACTGAGTCCTGTCTAAAGTCTGCTTGCTTTCATAGTAGTTTCTAAGGTTCACATTCACACAAGCTATCTTCACACCACCATGATTTCCAGATCCTTTTGCAGAGATGGGATGTTGAAAGCCTTGCAAATCCCCATTTTACCACATCTGAAGCTTTGGTAGGTCTTGGGACTTGAGGTCCTTGATCCTGTGAACAGGGGTTGCTGAATTAGGCCATGGGTCAGCTCAGCAGAATATCCTGTCTCTGGAGTATCTTGTCTCTGGTAGTGGCCACCAGCTGAGGGTTAGAGAAAGCGTACAGAATTTTTACAAGCATAAAAAAAGTAGTAGAGGCTTCAAATATACATCCTAACAAAGGGCCCAGTTTCCAAGGAGTGGTGTTTTTGGACTTTCAGACCTAATTAATTGCTTCCAAGCTGTTGAGTCAAGCAGCCTTTAGACCCTTTTCCTCATGCATTTCCTAACTCTTACACTCATTGATACTTTTGACTCAGTTCTATTAAAACATTCTGAAACAATTAATAATTCTTCCCTGATGACTCTTCAAAGCTTCTACTTTTCATTCACACAGAATCAGCTTTAAGTAAAATTGCATGAAATAGAGATTCTAACTTTTTTATTAAGCCTGCATTTTAAACATGGTGCACAACTTTTTTTGCCTTATTTTCCCCAGTTTTCTCTGTGTGTGTTAAGTACAAGATGGGCTTTGCAATATATAACTTATTAGTTTGCTTTTTGTGTTAGAATATGCTGTTGTCATGGCTGTTAGGTGCTGTTGTACTTGTCACTGTTCCCTATGTTAGGGAATTAGCTTCTCTTGTTTAATTGTGTGTGTACTTTTTTTTTTGTGTCTCTCTCACCCACAGTGCCATTACTCCATGAAGAAGGCAGCCTCTTTCCTGGGTATTGGTACAGAGAACGTGTATTTCATCAAAACAGATGAAAGGTAAGAAAGCAAAAGCCATGACTGATCTCTGAGCCTTTTAAAAATGCAGTAGTGCTGTACATAAGTAACCTATTTGAATGTAACTGAAAAAGTTTTAAATCTGTGTCCTTTAGAGGTAAGATGGTACCTGAGGAACTGGAGAAACAAGTCCAGCGGGCCAGGAAAGAGGTGAGAGGGGGAGAGAGAGCGTGAAGGAGAGAGGAGTGTATGCAGATTGTGTGCTTGTATCTGAGTGAAAGGAAGGAAAACTAAGAGTGACCAAAATCTTAAAAATAGGGCAGCTAATGTAACAATATCTTTCTTACAGGTACAATCTGTTTACCACAAACTTGTGGAACAAGCCAAGGCTTATGGGTTCTACATTCTTAGAAGGGAGGAAAATTCCACAGGGTGTTTCCTGCTAATGAAAGTCCCAAGTACAATGCTGCTCTGAAGTATTTAGGGCATTTCTTATAGGATTTCTTTTGCCCTTGATCCTTTTTTAAATGGATGCAGTGTGTTTTCCTAAAACGATTTTTCAGTTAATTACAACAGCTATTGCTCTACTGCCTCTGCAGTGAGCAAGAACTGTAACATGTGGCTTAGTCTCTAAAACTGTCTTACAAGCTTCAAATGATAAATTCTGTCCTTTCTATTAGTTTAGCGAGAGTGCAGAGAGGTGCCTCTTTTCCCCCAGGGACTTTGCCAAGTAGAAAGTCAAAGGCAAGAGTTTGGAAAGGCACTGATGTGTGCATTTGGACAACATTGACACACATTCCCACAATCTGTAAGACAGCCCTTACCTATAGTCAGTATAATTTAATTTAGAGAGCTTGGAGGACTAAATGTGACTTCCAAGAGGATCTTCTTTTGGTTTGGTTAGCTCACCCTATTTCTCACTTCCAATTTGTGCATCAGAGCAGTAGAATTCAGAGCTCAGCCCTTAGTCCATGGTGACTGAATACAAAGCAACTAGTGCAATATCCATGGCATGGACAATATCTTCCATGGAATTCTATCTTGGGAAATCTACCTTTGTGGCTGATAGAAAAGCCAAGGCAGTCCTGTCCGGTCCTGCACTGTCACGGCCACAACAGCTTTCAGTAAGTTCTGTTTTGGCTGCATTTTCTGCAAAGCGCCATCTCTTATTTGAGTTTCATTCTGGATAGCAGAGCTATTGATAATGACCTAGCAAACTCTCTTGCTTGCCTCTTTCTGTGCTTTGCATTTTCTGAGGAAGACAACCTGTACTTTACTCATTTGAGCAAGCTGGGTGGGAAAAGGGACTGAAATAAAATAAAGTAAGAGGAAGCAGGCTTCCAGATAATCAATCCTTTGCTTTTGAATAAACAGTATTCTCTTTCTTGTAACAATACATGTAATGGTCATTTGAAAGAAGTCACCTGGCATTTATAACTATTTTAGAAAGGTCAACCTCAGTATGATACTCTGCAATTTAAAAACAAATGTTCTATATTAAAATGCTCTGCTTACAGAAAAACATGATTTCACTTGCATTTTAAAGGAAGTTACAGGTGTATTGGAAGGTTTTAATTTCATCAGAGCTTCAGTGTGTCCTTGACAAAGTGCTACTTTAGAGCTTTTACAGAAAGACACTTCAGTGAATTACAGAAAATATTTTAATGACTCTAGACAACAGAGGATGTATTTGGTAGTGATTGAAACACAAAAATGATCACTGAATATGAATGGCAAGAGTCTTCTCTTTTAAAAAAATTTAGGCAGGAAGATTAGTTTAACTATATTGTCAAGAGTAATAAAAATTTAATTCACTTCTTTGTGGGAAAAGTATAATGGTAGCAATTACTGGAATTTGTAGAGATCTGAGACTTGTTCCTGTATTCAGTTGTGCTACCAATTGACTGCTTGAAAACCTTTGACTTTACCTTTGATGTAGCTGTGGGACAAAATTTCTGGGAATGCTAACAGAAAATAGATGCATTTGATACATCTTTGCCTCACTTGCAAGTGTTTTGTACTCAAGCTTCAGGCTGATTTGTAAGTTTGATTAACTATTGTGGTAGCTTGCACTCAGAATAAATGACCAAGAAGTGAATTAAAGACTGGTAAGTCTATGTGAATGTATGGGATTAATTTAGGTTAATTCCAATGTTACTTTTCACTGCTTTAGTCGTTTGTAAAGAAAATCTAAAATATAAATAAATCATAATTATGTACCATTCTAACAGTCCTCTACACTGTAAAGAAGTATAAACTGTCAGAGTGTAAACATGAATCAAGCTTGTCTGTCTCTGTAGATGCTTAAAGTAGCAACAGTTAAAAAATAAAAGAAAAAGAAAGAAAAAAAAATAAATCGGATTTCAGCTGAGTGAAGATACATGGGAGACTTGTGTGGAGTTTGATTTTTCAGCTGATGTCTGTTGTCACTAGAGCTCCATTGAGTTACCTCCACAGACACACATCATCTGAGAGATCTAATTCACTGCAAATGAACCTCAGTGATCCCAGCTTGAACAACTTAGTAACAACTTTAGTGCCTCCTCAGTAAGTGCGTTGTCATTCTGCAGGCCGGATGCTGAACGGTGCAGAGCAGTTCTTCCAGCAAGTGAGACTGCACAGTCGTTGCTGGGGCTGATACCCTCAATTTCATGGAGTTGTTGCCGACTCCATCCATTCTTTCCACTGTTGCAGTTTCTGCTCCTAACTGGACCCGACACATGGATCTGCCAGGGTCTGTGTTAGCTGAAGGGAAGCAAAGATGGAGAGCTGTCAGTGGCTGGCTGTGACACAACCCAACAAAAGTTTTCCTTACCCCACCTGCCTGACCTTAACACTGTCTGAGATTTCCAGCAGTCTCTCTCCTAACATTCATTTACCATCTACAGCCCTTCTTCTTTCCTAGGCAGAGGAGTGGGAGCCAGGGAATAGCACCCAGCTGCAGGTCAGGTGTGGGAACAGACAGCAGTGACTCTCCCTGCCATGGCACACACCAGTGTGGCTGCAGGAAAATCACGTTCCCTTGCTGAAGTTTCCTCTTCACCAGGCAGAGAGCAGGGGTGTTGTAGACACCTTTCCTTGCATGGGTAGTCTGCTGGCTCAGCTAATCACTTTATTTTATCAGAATGACAGCATATATGTTAGTGAAATGTGAAAGACTGAGAATTGAAAATCAGTGTGTAAAGAGAGATGTCATAGATCTGGTATGTTTTGATTTTGACAAAACTAGCATCTGTCAAAACAGTCTGAAGCTGCAGAAGTCTGCCCTGGGATGGTGTTAACTAGAAATGGAAAATGCCTTTTTTTTTTTTTTTTAATAAAGGAAAAAAAAAAAGAGATTCAACATTATTAAATGCAGTACCTTCTGCTGGGAAACTAAATTGCAGATTTCCACATCTTTGTCCTACATTCCTAGATCGTTTTATACTTTAGCTCTGCAAGTATCCAAGCAAGAGATGAGCAGTGCGAATTATATTTTTTTTTGTTTTGTTTTGAATCCTATTGCAGGGGTCAGCACCATTTCTTGTCTGTGCTACAGCAGGCACAACTGTGCTGGGAGCATTTGATCCTCTGGATAAAATTGCTGATATCTGTGAAAAGCATGGCCTCTGGCTTCATGTTGATGTGAGTTTGTATACTGCATGGTTTTATTTAGCACGGCTTTTTTATAATTGCTATTTTACTTTGACTGTTGATATTTCTTTTTAGAAATTGGGGTCTAATAACATTGCTTTCTCCTTGCATAGGGACCAGAAATATGTTCTGATTTGACTCTGTTACATATACTGCAAAGCAGCAAATAACTTGGTTCTGACAAGCCAAAGCCATTTTGTTATTGTCTGGTTATATTTCAAGGTTATATACCTCCTAAAAATTCTTCAAGAGCAATTATATACAAACCCAAGTTTTGATTCTCCCCATGTTCTGTTGGGGAATAGACACATTCGAATTGTGGTATGAGGTTTGTACATGTTAAAATAAAGATATGCTTCTGGCTCAGCTAGTCATTCTATTTCATATTTACAGGTTTGAATGTCCTGTATATGTCCTTACATTTTCCTAAACTGTTCAGAAATTTTTATTTTTAAAAAATTTATATGTAATTTTAGGTTTGCATATTAAAATCCATTCATGAATCTTTTTGGAATAATCCTTTTTTATGTGCCTTTTTATGACTTGAATGAGTTAGCTGTAAATGTATTTTTCTAAAGATAGGCCACTTCATATTTTCTAAAATTGCATTATAATTGCAATGCCACAAATCCAGAATGGCTAGATTAAAAGTCATGGAGCAATAAGAGAATCTGGAGCAATATTTGTGGAGATTTCCAAACCTGCTCTAAATTTCTGAAATGTTTGTATAATGTTGGGTATCTAAAGAAAGCTCACGTAGGCAGTGATGCATGTTTCAAATAAATGTCTCACAGACATTAATAAATAAAGTCACTGTACGTGTGAGTCAAAAGAGTTTTCTTATATTCTTGGAGACAAAAATGCAGAATTTAGGCTGAATATTTAAAATGTTTGCCAAGCCTCCTCATGGCTGTGTGCTGCTGAGAAGAATTCATCAGAATTTCCACAGGAGTGCAGCACTCTTGTTACACAGCTCTCTTGTGTGTCTGTGTATAGCTGGTGGCAAGAGGGATGTAGTTGGAGTCTGTGTTGGATCTTAGGTGAGTCAAGTAGATGTGGCTGGAGCCATCTCCAGTGGCTGTAGGAGAACAATGAGTAGTGTCCTTGGAGCTGAACTAAAATATGGTGAGGTAAGCCTGGGTCCTGTTTTGAACCTTAGTGAGCTGTTAGTGTTTTGAAAAGAACTAACTTTATTCTTCCAACTCATCTTAAACTAAGGTAAAATGTCCAGGAATATATCTAAGTTACTTTCTTTTTTGAAATTACTGTAGTTGTCAGATGTTAATTGTTTCCCAGTAGGAGGACAAATGTCCAGTAATAAATTGGGTTTACAGTCTGGAAGATCAATTGTTCTCTTAAGATGTGATTCATATTATGAGCCTCTCAGTGGTTCTCAGAAGTTCTATCAGTATTTTCTCTATCTTTCACACTATATGAAGGGTTGGGTGGGTGGCTGTTTCTCTATTTTTTCATTGAAAGTTTCTAGCTGTATTTATAAGAGAACAGGATATGGGGAAGGATGGAAAGCCTTCCACAGGAGTGACGTCAGGCACACACGTATATACAAGTGTGCTATGGTAAAATGAACAGACTCTGATTCTTAGTGTGGCACTTTTTCTCTCACAGCACCACTAGAAATAGATTTACTGAAATTGCATGTGAGCAGGTGCAGTGAGACTGGGTCTCTACCATTCAGAAAGATTATAAGAAACCCAGAGAAGAGTTGGATTTTTTTTTTTCTTAATCAAGCATATCTCCTATCACTATAGGATGGAATGTAATATTTTTGAAATCTTTGAGAATCTACAGTCTGCTGAGAGGCCTGGCTTCTTGTTGAATGATTTACACATTATTGTGCAGTCTAACAAGTGTGGACTGCTGTTTAGGCCTGCTGTAACTTTGAAGGAAAAAAGGTACAGTACAATCAAAATGAAGCGTAAAGCCCAGGTAAAGTTGTCTAATTTAGGACTTTTCATGCATCATTGATAGGCATCAGGATTATCTACTGTAAGTGCTCTCCCAGGCTGTTACTTAGAGTATCTTATATGAATGTCAGTGGTGTTGTTTCCAGATTTACACTGATTTATCTCGTTTCAGAATATTTTCTGATCCCAAAAATTGATGTGTTTGCCTTAGGGAGACTCTTTTCATTAAATATGAAATGATAAAGCTGTGATTCTTAGGAAGGGCAAAAGGGAGAATGTCAACAGAAATTCAGTAAGCTTCAGGAAGATAAATTTCAATAAAGTCAGAAATAGTAGATAAGCTCTGATATGAAGACAAACCAAAGAGGAAAAAGCAAGTTAAGGAAAATGTTTTAAGAAGATAATACCAGTAGATCCAAACTGCCCTAGCCATCAAGCTGTTCAGTCAAGCCTAAGAGCAGAGGCTATACCACGATTATTTTGTTCACATTACAGCATTCCAGTTGCTTACTGTATATTAACCTCCATCTCTGCTGCCTTTCTTAATAACTTGTTTTGTATCATCAATATGCCCTCCAGCATCTGTATATGTCATGTATTATCTTAACGTAGCTTTAAATGCTATGTATTTCTTTCCTGATGGTCCTGATTTTGACTATTTTTTTTCTCCTACTATTAAGCGAGTAGAGAAAATCAGGCTTGACCTATTAGCCCATGCTTAGGTAATTAGCTTAATCAGGCAGTGCACACTGTGATTCCCATCATTCAGCTGTAAGTGATTTGTTGCCTATGAAACAGCAATTTTCTCATACCTTGTTACCAATTACATTGTGTGGGACAGTCGTGTTTTGACCTACCCTGCCTTGCTCTCAGCTGGATTTGTTTTAAACAAAATGTCATTCTAGTCTGATCAATGTGCTCTCCTTCTATAGTCTTGTGGATGGAGGAGCAGTAGTCAACTTTACTATGTCTGCAATATCTCATCAAAAAGTCAGAGAAACAGGCCAAGCTGTAGCTCTGGTAGTGAGTGAAAACCTGGCTGGAAAACCATTCCCACAGAGTAGTTACCAGTAATTCACTGAAAGGGGAAAAGATTTTGAGCTGGATTCCTCAAAGGTCTGTCCTAGGGTAGAAATTATCTGGTATTTTCTTTAAATAACTTGGATGAAAAAGAATATGCTGACAAATTTGAAAATGACATAAGACTTCTGAAAAAGTCAGTGGGAGGACAGGATTAGAAATCAAAGGGATTTTGACAATTTGGAGAAAAAAGTGGAAAAACTAGGCTACAGTTCAATAAAGATAGCATTCTAAGCTGCAGTACTCAAGTACACAAACACAGGCTGGGGATTGTTGGCTAGATAGCAGATCTTTACTGTACAGCCCAGAACTTTTTCTAGTTTACAGATCAGTGATATTTTTAAATAGAGTTCAATACCTTTCAGAATTGAATGAAGGAAGTATATAAAATAATTCTTTGTTTCTGTTTCACACGCCATCTGCTTTATCTAAATGTTGTCCAAATAAAAAGATGCAGTTCAAGAAGGCCCTACAGGAGAAAGATGAGAAAATGGGAAAGCAGTGTAGATAAACAGGATAGTATCTGGAAATTATGACCAATGAGGAAAGATGGAAAGCACTGATGTTATTTAAACTAGGAAAGACAAATAAACAGAACATATTAGTCTACAGAAGCTTTAAAAGGTGCTGCTGAAAGAAAAGGACTAATCTGCTTCCCTGACCACTGGAGATGTGACAAATGGTAACATTCTTTAGGTCTGACGCTTTAAATTAAAATGGTGTTATTCCTGTTAGACACAAATTAAGTGGTTAAGTTGTGCAGCCTCCATTGTTAGAGAGGCCTTTAAAACCAAACAAAGCCAGTGATTCTCAGTCTTCTTAAATGCCTTCTCATTCACGGTGTTTTGTTTTTTGTTTTGGTTGCATTTGTGGTTTGTTGGGTTTTTTTTTCCCATTTATTATTATTTTTGTTGGTTTTTGTCGTTTGTTTTTTTTTTTCCCCCGCCTTGGATCCTTAAGCACTTGCTCTTTGAATTGGGTAAAGAAACATAGATTCACAAATTCGTCTTGTGTTACTTGGCTCTAGGAGAGTAATAGAATTTCTCTCATCTAGATCTCCAGTAGCAGTTTTTTTAAAATAGGCAGAAAGTAGGGCCAATAACTCTGTGGAGGCAGCAATTGCTGGTCTCTCGCTGCATTTAATTTTTCCCTTCAATGCTAATTACAGGTGTAATTTATTTGTGAATTAATAACCTCTNTGAGAGAAATGAGAGGAGTATGGCTAATCTTGTCTTTGGGGGTGACACACTATAGATGACCTCTCAAATGCCTTTCTAGTCTGTTTTTCACAAACAGTGTGAGAATGCCAATTTTTTCAAACATGGAAGTTTTGAGTGCAAATTTTGTAAAAGTTCATTATATTTTAATGGATTGTTTATAAATTCTGAAAATCAGGGAATAATTTAGTGACTGTTTTTATTTTATTGAATCATAGAATGAGAGGAGTAAAATTTATTTCTGAATAGGAAGTTCAGTTTGACTCATCCCATAGCATGGCAAATTTGGACTAGCTGGAGAAAAGAAGTTGCAAGTCATGGTTCTGCAGGATTGCCATGAGTTTGAGGCAAAAATATTTCCTTCCTTAGCTCCCACCTGTAGTTTGTGCAGCAGCCCTTGTCTCAGCAAGGATGTTGAGAGCGTGACAATACTCACATTGTCATGTAAAATATTATGCGATCTATTAATTTGTGGCATTAATGAGATGATTTTTTAAGGCAAGTTAATAACTTTCATCTCCCTTGTGAGCCTTTGCCATCCTGTCTCCCAGAGATAGCAGATCTTGTTCCTAATGTATGGCCTGTGAAGCAAATACTGATGATAAATTAATATCACATATTTTTATTTCAAGGAAAGAAAAAACCAAACAAGCATATATTTTCTATGCTTAGGTAGTTTGCTTAAGTGTATTCTGCCCGCATGAATATTGAAAATAATTTTATATATTTATTTAGCAGTAACTTCTCAAATGCACGGTGTGAAACGTCTAATGTTTGCATGATCTCCTCACCTTCACACTGTGGATAAATGTTGCTTGGGATCTGAAGGTACACAGCACCTGATGATCCTTGCAGAATTCATGAAAAATAGTCACATTCCCTGGTTCAGGTTTTCCAGAAATCAAACTTTATTAATAGAAACTTGTTGTCTGGGTTCCTTCTCTAGTCCCTGGAGAGACACATCTGCCAAAGGTGTCACCCAAAGATGGGTGTCTAGTGTAGGTGGAACGAAATAAGGAGTTTCAGTGGAGAGCTCCTCCCTACAGGAGGTCTAAGTGACTCTTAGAGCATATACTTAGTTTTTAGATGAGCTGAGGGAGTCTTAAGTCATTTTAAGGTCAGTTGTGTTGCTGGTGACAGAAATGCTGCTACTGCCACTGACAGACTTTGCTTTTCATATCTGTGCAAAATCTGACCTTTGCAATTGCCAGAGATTATCACTGTCCACTGTTTCCCCTGTGAAATTCTCAGAAAGGAATGGCCTAGCAGGAGAAAGATGTGCAAAGTGGGGCTTTCTCTAGTCACTGATAGTTTAAGGCTGGGTTAAAGGAAAGAGCTCTATTTGGAATCAGGAATGAGTCTGGTTATGCAAGGACATTTCAGTTCATTGCCCTTGCTTACACAGAAGGGCCACTCTGGTTTGTGGCTCATGAAGTGGCACAGACCACAACCTCATCTATTTCAGGCATAGCCCCAGGCTGCCACCTTTATTTCAGGAGATGAAAATAAAGGCAAAATTTAGCCTTTTAGCCCTGACCATGTAGTAAACAAAGTTTTAGATGAGATAAGACATCTTTTAGAAATTATTAGTTGAAGTATTATCAAAATGACTTTATACAAATATTTTCTTGCCTCCATAAATTTTCCAACAGGCTTCTTGGGGTGGCTCAGCTTTGATATCAAGGAAGCATCGCAGACTTCTTTATGGTATCCAAAGGTAAGTCTGTTTAGTCCATGGGCTCACATACTAGGGATTGAGGTGGAATTTATGTCCTGTTAGCTTCTCTAAGTGTTGCAGTTTTTAAAATAGTTGGAGAGGTTTCTGAACCTGTGGTGGGGATATGTGTGTGGGAAATCTGATTTGTTTGCTTGGATTGTGTTTGGTCATTTTGATTCTTAAGGACTCATGATTATAGATGCAATTTTCACCTCCCTTTCTCCATTTATGATTTTTGCAGGGCTGATTCTGTTGCCTGGAATCCCCATAAAATGCTGTTGGCAGGAATCCAGTGCTGTGCTCTTCTGGTGAAAGACAACTCTGTAAGCCCTCCTGACCTATTTTTTAATTTTAATTTTCCTTTTTCCTTTTTTTTTTTTAAATTCTAATAGGCTGTCATTGCTGTAATATGAAAGTGGAAATAATTAGAAAACAGCTGAAAGTCAGTTTTACTATGCTGCAGTACAAAGGCTGAATTATATTATTTTGAATTTCACCACTTAATTAATAAAGGGTGAATAAAAGAGCAGGGTGAAAATGATCCAAGTCACTGTACTCACAAGTGGTCAGATTTTGTGGTTGGTGCCCTTGCTAGTTAACTTGTGCACATGATTTGCATTCAGAAGGGAGTATTTTGTCACCTGGCGTGGCACACTCAAACACGGAGCTCACCAAAGCCCTCAGAATAGCTGTCATGCATCGGGACTGCAGCAGCGTCTGTTCCAGGCAGGCAGGGCTCATCTTCACTCCCCGTGTACGGGAGGGAGCACCTCAGTGGGGGAGGGATGGCAGTCACAGCACATGCAGGTAAAGGTGCTGAGCCTTCTCTCCACGCTCCACCAGTTCTTCCTCATCAGCAGGGTGATTTGGACTTCCCAAAAGCCGTGACTAATTTAAAGGTCTAACAAGAGCACAACAGAGCTCTGATCTCTAGATGACTCTGCAATGTAGCAAAAATCCCTTCTTGTGCCTTTGTGACGTTCTTTTATCTTAAAAAGAACCCACCAAAAACCAGTAAGAGGTTCATTATTTCAAGCTTCATTTAAAAATCGGACCTGCTAAAACCTATGCCAACTGCCCACCATTATGGGTGAGTTTTACCTTATACTCCACAGGTTATAAATGACTGAACATCACGAAGATATTGAGCCCCTAAGGTTTGCATCACTATTCTGTGGCTGTGATTTGTAAATTGCTTTTATAAATCTCTGTCAAAACAACTGATATTTTCTAGTCAGCTGCTGGGGTTAGCTATCCATGTAATTTGTTACTAACTTCAGTTAGTAAGAACTGATGAGGACCAAAGAGCATAGTTGCTAATCAGCACTCTCTTGGAGCTGGTTGCTCCAGGTCAGGGGTGAGACATTACAGGACAGCAAGGAGAAGTGTGCCACCTCATTTCTAGATTAGAGCCTGTGGGATTGAAGAGGATTAGATTTCAGGGTTACTATCCATCGTGTTATCTTTATTCCAAGCTGAAAAACAAACAGAATAAAGCTATTGACTAAGATTAATATGGGGTCTTAATTGCAGGCTTGGCAAGATTTCAGTGTTGTATTTTTAACTAATTAGGCTCAGTACATAGATTTCGCCCCAGGTAATGATAAGGCTACTTGGACTGAATAGTGGAAATTTCTCAGGAAGAAAAAGGAAAGAAATGTAGAGGATGGAAATGTTCTAGCTGCTCTAGCCTTTCGAGTCACTTTATGACCACTGTTCCAACTTCAGAGCTCTGGCAGCCTTTTTGTGGTTCCCTTCTGTGCAGTGGAAAGTCTGGTAGAGTGATCCTATTCCACTTTTAAACCACAGCAAGGCAATATTGTATTAGAAATACTTGTAAAGCTGAATCTTAGGTCTTTGAGGAGTGAAAACAAGTATTATGGATCACAGCATCAGATCCCATTGTACAGTGAGACATGTTCTGGAACTCAGAAGATTTGTCTGCACTGGGAAGAAAGGTTGTTTTACTCTGTGTCTAATTCCTGGAATATGGGCTCTTACTCATTCAGTGTATGTGCCACTGAAGTCTTTATATGCAAACAGACACACATACAGATTTAAGTACTTTCTTATTAACTAGCTGGAATATAAATCCTGAAGAAAAAAAGATCAAATGCATGTTTAAGACACTTTGACAGAAAAGTGTTGCTTCACTTTGATCCTCTCCATACCGGCACAGGCAGCTGAATCCAGTTTCTCATTAAGAATGCTATTTTTGCACCAGTAAGAGAAGGAAAAAGTACATGTATCGGTTTCTCACTTGGGAGCTTGTTCCACATCTAAAGCACATAAATACCTATGGCTAAGATGAATCACATGTTTATTTGTGAACATAAGTCCTTCACACTGTGGTTAGGATGCATCAGTGGGAACTGGATACTGAGATGTGAGCTGGAAGAGTCTGGCACACATTGTTCTGCTAGTGGATGTTCAAGGAACCTCAGGTAGATTCTGAATTCTGCAAGAAATCAAAGCAGCAAAATGTTAATCATGAATATTAAGTTCCATTTATGAATTACCCTATCTTCCTTTAAAAGACTGATTGAGGAAATTTTGTTAGCCCATCTTCTCATTTGCTTTGAGGTCCATTTGGAAATTGTGGAATACTTCAGAATTAAGCTTAGTTGATTATAAGTGAGCAAATGAATCCCCTTCAGTTTTTCTTTTCCTCTTTCATATTTTCTGTATGAAAGACAATCTTTAGAAGATATCATCACGTTTCAGTTGTACTGGTAATACTGTAATTTCCCATTAACAAAAGTAATAGTTCTTAGTAATAGTAATATTCTTTTTGGTTTGGCTTTTTCTTCTGCCATATTTCTTCAATGGGGTTTAGTAGTGTTAATATATTTAAGGCACTGCAGCTGGCTTGTTAGAATGAAATATTGTAATTAAATACTTTCCTATCCAGATTAAAGAAAATACCTAAAAAAAATTAACTGCAGTAAAATGTTGATAAAAGAGTATCTTCCAGACTTAGCGAAACAAAATTGGAATATTTCCAGGGAAGGTAGAGATAGAAAAGAGACATATGTGTTTGGCTTGATTAGACGAGAGAAGCAATTTCACCAAAGGGAAAGAAAGATTGGTTAATCCTTTGTGAAAGCTCAGATCAATGACTGTAGTTCTTCAGTGCTTAAAGCACTCAAGAAGTGCTCAGCTATTCCTTTTTCACTGCCATGCCCTGAGTAACTTTCATCACTTCTCCAGGAAGTCTTACTCAGAAAACACTGGTATTGCTGAGTCATGAATTGCAGTGATTGTTTAAACACAAAGATGGACCAATAATCTCAAAACATTGGTGAAGTAAGTTCGGGTCTTATATATTCTTAAAATACTAGGAATCAGTGTTGGGTTGCACATACTCCCTTAAAACCACAAAGCTACTCCAATTTGTCCTTGCTGTCATCCATATCTGTGTGAATATTATTGACATATAAACAGAGAACTACTGTATATCACCAGTGCCAAATTCTGTGACTCGTGAGAGTGAAGCACTAGTTTAGGTAATTAAGAATCAGTTCTAGGTAATAAGCAGAATTTTTGCTTATTAGTTAAGAAAAAAGTCTCAATGTAGCTAATGAAATCTCATTTTAGTACAGAATATAATTGATTACGGTGATGATGGTAGCTGCCCACATGTAATCTCTTCCTCGTAATCAGCAATATCATAGACATATCTACCTCCCAGATTCCCCTCCAGGACAGCTGCAGGAAATTCTCTATTCTCATTGCTTTTGCTTGGGTTTAATACAACTGAGAGCACCTCCTCACCTCTTGAAATGAATTGCTATAGTGTCCTTTCACACTGCACTGCTTTTGACAATTTTCAAGTGTGCTTTTCAAAAGATTGTCACTATTGCCTTAGAAAAGACAAATCAGGGGGAGGCTTGTCTTGGGGAAAAATATATTTTATTAATGAAATGGAAATTCACTTTTAACTAGCAATGGAAATGGAAAGAGATCAGAAGACTTGCTGTAGGTAAGTCTGTTCAATGAGAAAAATACGTTGAATTATGAAACTGGAGCTCTTGCTTTCAGTATCAATATTTTTTCATCAATTTGCCAATAATTAGAATACACAAAAACTATATGTAGACTTCATCAAAGTCAAAAGCTCTTTGAAACTACACAGTGGACTGGGGCTTCTATGAAAATAATATTTCTATTTTCTAAACTTAAACAGACTGACTATAAGGCTGAGAATTTGCATTAAAAAAGGTAGAAAGCTAAAAGATGCTGAAGAAAGAAATTCAAAGTTGTCCAGTTCTAATGAAACTCTTGCAATTCTTCCGAGCAGACGTAGCAGCTCAGTTACTGTGTGGAAAACTGTTGAGATCTTCTTGGGACTGAGAATGCTGATTGAGAAAGCATATTTCTTTTCTTTTTCTTTCTTTCTTTTTTTTTTAATTCTGCTTTTTCATTGTGTGACTAGGAAAATTGAGATTGACTTTTTTAGTCCTCCATTCCCTTTCTTTTCCCTTCTCTTTCTCCTCCACCACTCTTCTGGAATATTTCTCTCTTTGTCACAAAGGATGATTTTTGTTTCTTTTCCTCTCTGATCTAGTGACATGCAGGAGGATGTCATTGTACTTGCCTCTGGAGACTGATAGTGTCAATATCTTCAGCAGTTCTTAGTAAGATAAGTAGGTGGTAAAGGATCATCAAGCCAACATGTATTGTTAGCTTCAGATGCACCAGGAGACCAGGACAGTACCTGCCATTTTTTTTAAAATTTTTTTTAAATTTTTTTTTAAAATGAGCTACATTACCAACAATACAGGCTAACTCAGGGCCATCAAACTATTTGTTGCCTTTTCACTCTAGAGCATTTTTAAAAAGCTATGTAATTCTGCAACTGTCCTGTGATCTTAAGTGAACTTCTCAGTCTTGTGTAATATTGCCAAGTGCATTTAGGTTTCTTGTGACAAACAGTGGTTACTGTTTATCGGATGACAGGCATGAGGGGAGCTACTGTTCTCTGATATCCTCATTGTGCAGCTGCATTGCATTCTGATAGGGCAGAAGGTAGTTCCACATTGATCAACCCTGCTGTACACTTGCTGCAGATACATCGTTCAACATTTTAAGTCAGTAAGAGACAAAGCAATTAGCTTAAATTTGTGGATGTTGTTGCCGTTTTGCTTGGTTTTTTCCCCTCTTTTTTTAAGCACCATGCCTAGTGAACTTGTAATTCTCCTGAAGTAAAGGTATAAAGGTCTAAATAGAATAGAGCACAATGTCTTGACAGAATGACTCCTGTTTCTGTTGTGCAGCTGCTAGCCAGAGAAAAAAAAGCTGTAAAAAACCTCAGAAGTATAGATGACTCAGTGCTTGACTATTCTGTCGTTTCTAATGTCATCTTCTTGCCTTTCTTTATTTGAGAAAATTGGAAAGTAGGTGTTAGAATCTTATATGCTGCAAAACACTGCATCCATCATTGGCTTTCCAGCTGTGGCTACCCTGTGCTGCAGCTGCACATTATCACTATGCAAAGGGAGAGCAGACACCAGCCCTTTTTTCCCCCCAAGCTGTCATATAAACTGTCTTTTCACAAGGCTGAACATGCTGCTCCTGTGACTAAACAGTTCAGACCAAATTTGCTGTACTTTTATCACACAAATATTACAATGGGACTGTCAAACCATTACAGAAATTGTGGAGAAACCTTGGTGGTATTCCTATATTCCTTGGTGGTCCTCTATAAATAGGCGTATATGTGGGATTTTTTATTTGCTTTGCTTTTTTGGAGAGAATTGAAAATCTAGGAGAGATGCAGAGTTACTCTGTGCCGCGTTTTTTTGGGTTTTTTTGTTTGTTCATTTTTTTTCTCTTGACTTTTTTACTCCATTTTATTGCCAGCCCCAAAGTCATAAGTAGGGTATTAGAATGTAGATCAAGAATTGTATCTCTGTTGTGGGAGTATGACACTTTGATTAAGAGTGATATCAGACACTGTGCCATTTCAAAATCAAACTTGAAGCAGATGCAGAGAAAAGGGGGAAATGAGAAATGTTTTTTTTGTTGGTTCAGATTGAAGAGTGATATTGAATTGGAAAATGAGTTGTGCTCTTAGTACTGACAGATGCACGTTCTCTGTCTCCTGGGCCCCTTGCAGGGCCACCCTCATCTCTGCTCTTGTAACCTGCTTTCTACCAGCCCTTCTCTCTACTCAACAGTTTTACAGAGTATATTTTGATATTTCATTCTTCAGCCAATGACCAGTCCTATGTCTCTTCTCTTCCTCTGCATCTTTAAACCTATAACAGCCTCTGTGCTTTCTGTTTCCCAGCCTTGTTCTCTGCTGGAGCTTGCCACATCACTCATTAATCTTTGTCTGTTTTGTGCTGCTCATCTCTGCCCAGGTTGCCCCTCAGAAACTGTAGGCTAGAGATTGCTGAATAAAAATATTTTTATTTAGAAATCGTGATTAGCATATGTGAAAGTATCTTTTCTTAAGTTTGCTTTCAAATGTTACATTTTTCTGAAATGTGAAAGGGAAAAAATTTGGGTTGTACAAATCTTTGTGTTTTTTCTGTTCAAACAGTCAGCCTATGCTAAATCCACAGTGACTATTTGATGTTAAAGGCTAAACATTTATTTCTTTGGGCTAAAATCTTCCCTACCTGCACCTAACCAAAGCAGGAATGGATTGAGCCATTTGTGAACAGTAGGAAGTTCCTCAGAGGTTGTTCTTGACTGTGGTGCTTATAATGCCAAGACTGTGGGTTCAGTCCCAGTATGGGCCATTCACTTGGATTGGACTCAGTGATCCTTGTGGGTCCCTTCCTACTTAAAATGTTCTGTGATTCTGTGACCTAAAGACTGGAGCAGTGTACATAGGTGTCTCCTTCTTCTTTCTCTTTCATATCCATATGTTTTAGGGCAACTGTTTCTATAGTACCCACTCCCATTTCTTGAGATCTGAGTCAAAATTTCTCTTCAGCTTGCTGCTCTTCCATGACATTATGAAGAAAATAATAATTTAAAAAATGTTTGCTGGTTGTCAGAGTAATTCACTGACTTTAGGCTCATTCAGGGTTCTTAAATCACACCATAAACTTTGGATGGTATCCTGTATATCCAGATCTGCTTTAATAAGCATTTGATACAGACAGGAAAAGAAAGGCTTTGGCTTATGAGAAGACTTGAAAATGCTTATCACCAATCGAAGTCTCTACCATGTTTCCTCACAGGGGCTCCTGAAGAAGTGTTACTCTGCCGAGGCTGCATACCTGTTCCAGCAGGACAAGTTCTATGATGTCAGCTACGACACTGGTGACAAGTCCATCCAGTGCAGCAGGCGTCCAGATGCTTTCAAATTCTGGCTGATGTGGAAAGCAGTGGGAACTACAGGCCTGGAGGAGAGAGTAAACAGGGCACTGGCTTTGGCGAGGTATTGCCTCACAGTTTGGAGAATGTCTAGTCTGTTTGATTGGCTGAGATGTTGGCACTGCTGGTACTCCATATTCTGGAACAGACACCATTGTTATATTTTGCCTCTATCCTTTTCTTTGTGTATAATAGGTGGAACTAATAACAATAATAAATAGTGTTATTATATTTGCTACAATATTTAGTAGTAATTATTGCTTTTTTTCAATAAGCATAAATGTTGGTAAACATGGAGGTCAAAATTAGGCTATCAGTCTGTATTGTGGAACATTTGTATTATCTGAACTAGACATAGGACAGAGTTACTAAAACACTTTCTTCTAGCTCAACTGTGTGTTCTGGTATTGGTGTAAAAGAAGTTCTCTGTGCCAGAATCCAATCTGTGTCTGGCAAGAATCAAATTTTCCTGTTCATGTCATTCCTTCTGAAAGAGGAAATGCAAAAACTGATCATGGAAAACTCTTATGAGGACATTGTGATAATATTAGGATCAAGTAGAGGTATATGAAAGCAATATTTTTCTGATGTACTGAGTGGTTTTCCTCAAGTTTGCTGAGGTTCTTAATGCTAATACTGTGTTCTGTTAAGGACCGAAACACCTTTTTCTTGTGGTCTTCCCCATACCCATCCTCTTCAATTTCCTTAAATTTTTGGTCCTGCAGAACTGAGTTTCACAAGTGAATTCAGCAAAATTCTTGGTAGAAGGTGTCTATAGAGTGAAGGTGATGTCTTGGTTTCTGAGAAAAGACTTCCATACACAAGGGGCTTTCTCTTAAAAGAAATTATTTTGAAATAAGATAACGGCCCATTAAAAACAGGTCACTTTAAGTAAAATGTTTGTTCAGAATTTTTACAAGACAAAGCACAACAAAAACTACACCAAACTAGCTACACACCGCCTTAAGTCAAATAATTGGTATTGACATTTTACTTTTTATATGAAATGACAAGTAGAAAAGAATTGAATGTTTACTTCAACCAAAATTAAAGGAATAGTCTGACTCTAATTAAATTACTTTAAAAGAAAATAAAAATGCCTCTGACCTAAACCCAGAGTGGATTTGAAAGGAACGAAAAGAAAGAACCAAAACCAGAAAAGCACAAAAAACCGGTGACTTTTTCTCTACTTTATTTCTTTTAAGCCACTCAGGTTTTTGGCTGGTTTTGTGTTTTTTAGTATGTCCTGGTTAAATTGCACCTTGTTTTTCTTGCGAAGCATTGCACTGCTCTTTGTCTGTTCAGAGTAAGTAATTCTTTCCATTATCAGTAGGAGAATTCAGCTTTATCAAGGTCACTGGCCAAGGTCATTTGAGTGACTGTGTAGTGATTAATGACCTTTCTGGGATCGATATTTCTGTTTAACATTAGGATTCAGATGGTAACACTTTTAGGAGTGACTGGCTTGTCTCTTCTGGTTTTCGGTTTGTTTTTCCATTAGGAAGTAATTTAATTTTTAGACATTATCTGATGAAATAGATTCTTCACATTGCCATCTTGAGTTTGCATGGACATGGGCACTGTACCAGGTTTACCCACTACTCAGCTGTGCAGCCTTTCTCCTCATTTGTTACATTAGATGTTACTTCAATTGCAAGGGTAGCATTTCAGTGTTCCTGAACACTGACTGGATTAATGCTGGAATTAATTCCACTGAATTTAAGGGTGAGATTGCTGCTTTTTTTTTTTTTTTTTTGGTAGAGAAGCAGAGCTGAGAAGGTTTTAGGGTAACTGCAGGCATGTATTTCTGATGCAGTGAACTTTGCCTATTGGCTAATCCAGTAATATCTTCTTGTTTTGGAGATGAATCATGCTTTCAGGATATTAAATATCCCAGGAACATTGTGATGCTATCTATTTGGAAAGGCTTGCTTTTTAAATGCATAGAATAGAGCATCCAGCTGATCACTTCAGAATTTTTCTGTGTATTTTGTTCCCCTCAATTATTTTTGATGTAGGTATGTTGCTTTATAAAGTACACTAAAAAGAAAATAGAAGTAAACTGCTTTTAGAATACAACTATAGTTACTATATAAGCACCTCTGCATTTCATGCTTCATCTAGTTTGGAATTTTCCTGCCTGTTTCCTTTTCTGACACCCACTGTTAGCAGACATATGTCTACTTTCACAGCAAATCTCCAACCCTCATTTTCTGCAAGGCTTAATCATAGCAAATGACATTTCTCTGTGTACTTTGGTCTTCACTAAGATTCAAGCCCTTCTAACATACTACAACTGTGATGTGATAATAAAACTTCATTGTCAACTGTGGCAAGATGCACAAAGTAAATTGCTCCACTACCTTCAAATGATCCTGGCAAGATAAATCATGGACAATGGATTTTCTAATGGCTGTCTTCTTAGGATATTGGCAGTATAGTTAAGAACATGATTAACAGTGTTGTGACCCTGACCTGACCATCAGGTAGCCTACATCAGTTTTTATGCCAAGGTGATATGAAATAAAGGCACTTGAGGTAAGAGGGAAAGGTGCTAAGCATTGCAAAATTGCTCTAACAATTCAAGACCTTAAACAAAAGAAAAAGGAAAGTGGTTATGCATAGGTTTCACTTTCATAATTTATTAACAGACAAAAATAAATTGAAGGTCACTGTCATATGAATAGCCTGCTGATGCAGCTGCATTTTGGTTTTATGGCACAGACAGGTATCTTCTAATAAACAGGACAGAAGCAGCGAGCTCTTTAGACATAATTACCCTACAGATAATCATGTAGTGTGGACGTTAACAGCCAAATAACAAACAAATGCACACAGGAGGATCTGAGTGGTCATGGCAGAAAAGACCAGAACCGTGACTTGTCCCAGCCAGAGGAAACACCTCACCAGTGCACAGCACAGCTCCTGAGCTGCTGTGACTTGTCCCAGCCAGAGGAAACACCTCACCAGTGCACAGCACAGCTCCTGAGCTGTGTGTTGTGGGCTCTGGCCCTCCACTGCAGTGGTGGCTTTACTGGGATGTGTGCTGGGAGGTGATGAGTCACAGGCACAGCACTTGCTAATGATAAACAGCGTGACAACTCCCCAGGAGCTGTTTGGAAAAATGTGTGCCATCAGGGTATTGTTTATTGCTTCCCCAGACAGCCTGTTTCTGCAGCACCTCCGTTAAGGAGAAGGCATTGCAGAGACAACTGTGCTAGAGATGGTGTCCCTGCCAGGGACAAGTAGGACCAAGGGAAGTTATTCTCACAATTCTTCTCTTTCTTGCCAAAAAGAATTACTAGTGTGACGACCAGTAATGCAGCTTCTGACAGGAAAATGCCAAATAGTGAGTTCAAGAGAAGAACAGATTTGTGCACAATCAGTAGTTTAGCTGTGTCAGGTTTATTAATGTTAGACAGTAATATCTTCATGGGGAAGACTAAAATTCTGTTGGAATGGAAAAGCAGCATGGATTTGCAGTGAAATTGTTGAAATTTTTCTTTGTAAGGCTTTGAGGGGGGGAGAAGAAAGAGAGAATTCCCATCTATGTCCTCTTTGCTTCAGAATTCCTGTGTGATTTTGCTGTGGCAAAGTTGTGGTAATGTTTTAAAAAAAAATCTGTAAATTGAAGCTGTTTGTGTCCAAAATTTTGATTCAAATCCATCTTTCCCTTAGAGGCTTCTGTGTTTTTCACACGTGGCGGGTGAGAAAGAAAAGAATTTAAGCATTTAAATACACTGTTAGCATAGGAGGTCTAGGGATTGTTGTACATAAGCATGGCCCACTGGATGGAAAGTTGCACTGTTGTACTCTGTGGAATGTGGACAGTACTGGGAAAATTGCTGAGTTTGAAGTATGTTCAAATTCTAAAATTCTGGGCTAAACTAAGAGAAATAGAATGCAGGAGGTGTCAGAGTGACTGTGAAATAGCATGGCAGCCCAGCACTGGCACTTGAGAACAAGGGATGGAGGTATTAATTTGCATTGGGAAAGTTCACAACCTGATGCAAATAGGATCAATTTGTGCCGTGTGGCTCTGCTGAAAAGCTGTGCCTGAGGACAGAAGTTGGCTTCTCCTCAATGCTTCTTGGCTGGCTGTAGACTTATTTTGTTTCCAGGAACTGATAGCTATTGCATTTTCACAGCAGGTAGAAATGAGGTTTAACTCTGTTGTTTTCTAAGTGTGGGGAAAAAAAAGAAAAATAAATACATGTTTAAGACCCTGTTTTTTGTTGTTGTCTGTGTTTATTGTTTTGTTCTATGCTTTAAACCCCTGATTTATAAATTACAGATATCTAGTGGAGGAAATTAGAAAAAGAGAGGGATTCCAGCTTCTTTTGGAGGTAAGTGAAAAGAGAACTGAACTGTTGTCATTGTTTGGAAGTGTCCATTGTTTGATTCTGCTCTTTTTAGTCAATTATCAATTTGTATTTAAAGTATCTAATCTAGTAAGTTTATGTATTGGAGATCCACAGGTATGATTGAACACACATAGCACATGCTGTGCTCCCTACCATCATTCTGCCTAATTTCCTAGCTTCTGGTCATGAATTGCCTCAGGGGGTGTAGTTGGAGCACTCTTCTGTGAGAGCAAAGAGGCTGGCTGTAAAAAAAGCAATGCTTGCCAGACCTACAGATAAGACTGTGTGCTGGATGGAAAAATAGTTTGATCCTAAAAATTGACTTTTCATTGTTAAAGTCTATATTTTTTTCCTAGTTCTATTTTGACTCCCCTCTTCCTACAAACTACCCAAAAGTTATGTGTTTTTAAACCTGTCAGCTTATTTCCTGTTTGGTGATCTTGCTTGGGGGAGAGTAAGTGAAGGGAATAGAGCTTAAGTACTGTTTTTCCACCTGTCCTCAGCTCTTTGGTTAATAAGGCTGATATCTGAGGATGTTGCAAAGACCTGTCATTTTTATAAAAAAACTTTTTATATTGTTGGAAATGTACTTGTATGAAAGACAGGCTGGTATGTGGGATCAGGAGGAAGAGAGTAGATGGAGGCGGATGGGAAATGGAGTAAGTGTCACTGTGGACATTCTAGGTTAGGCTAGACAAAATACAAAATATGAAAAATACTTTATACTATTCATACAATGTAAAATTTGTCTTGAACTTTGAAAACTTCTGGTCAGTTGAAGAGTTTTTGGCCAGCAGCATGGGATGGGATTAGTAAGGTGGCAAGTCTGTTAAAAGCTGTCCATTTCTTGTTATTATGGACCTTAGCAGAGAGGCCAGATCTGCTGTAGATGTGAAAACTCTTGGTAAGAGCAGAAGCTGCTGTGTAGTTCCTGCAGGAATGGGACCTCTGGATTAAAAGTGGATTTGAAGGGAGTATTTATGAGAAAGAAGTTGAGCTTATCGAGTTCTATGAGTTCTTCTATGAGTTGAGAAGTTGAAAGGGTTTAGAAAGTTTTCAGGAGTGCCTGGGGATAAGCAATGAGAATTCAAAGAAAAGATGCTATGAGGCAGCAAGGCCCAGCTGTGCAAGGCCTCTCTGAAGGGAAGATGGGCTTCAGACAAGAATCTTTGGAAGATGATCCTCTGATACATTGCAGTAAAGAAAATCACGTAATGAGAATTGCTCTGCAGCCTGGAAATGCCACTTGAGCCATCTTGAACTCTTCTGTTGTATAATTGCTTACCTGCTCGGGTAAGACCTGTGACAAGATAAACAGAAATAGAGGTGAAGCATGGCTGGGGGTAGTTTTCTAAGATGAATGGTATTTTCAGAGGGCAATGATGTATTTGATGTGTGAAAGGAAACTGAGATAATCAAGGAGGCAATATAGGCAATGGCAATATGATGTCTGCTCCTGCCATCTGATTTTAAGTAGTTTTGCAGTAAACCCTGTAACACTGAGCTAGTGCTTGTTCTTACAGGGAAGGCGCTGCCTTTTTAGGGTCTGTGTTTACATGTGTACTCAAAGCAAGCTCTTTGGGGGAAGAAATGGCACTTTAAGAACCAATTTTTATTCCATTCAGTGGCAGCACATGGCAGGTTTGCAGCTCAGTTCCTGCTGACAATGATATTCTTCTTGATGGTTAAATTGTATTTAATGTGTTCTTTGAAGTGAAGCGGGAAGTGATATGAGCTGCTCTCAGTGGCCTTTCATGGAAGAATATGTCCCAGTTGGTGGGCTCTTCTTGTTCAGGAGACTGTCTGGGATTATAATAGCAGCCACATCCACAGTGGGGTAAAGAGATGGTGTGACTCAGCTACTAAGTCCGTTTTAACAGTGTTTTTTTACTTTCCACTAGTACTGATGAGGATGGCATATGAGAGAGGAGTGAGATGTGTGAGTTCACAATCTGAATTATCATAATCCATGCTATAATCTAGATGGCATCTGAATGCTGTACTGCAGACAGTGGAGGTCAAGATTGACTTAGTGATTTGTGGGTTGTGTGGATGGGATCAGAAGGTATATCTATTCCTCATATTATTGTTCTCTATGCAGGTAAACAAAAAAGAGTTCAAAATTAGCAGGAAATGATAGAGACCCTGGACTGGCCTGCTGGGAACATTTTCTCAATCATATATGATACGGAAACCTCATAAGCACAAAATGCCTTATTTTATAATGCATAATGAACAGCCACTTCTGCTAGGAGCCGTGCAGCTAACTGTTGAGTTTAAAGGCAAAATTTCTCTGGAGAGAAGCAGACATGTGGAGTTGCAGTCTTCACTCAAAAGGCCTACTTAGGTGTTAGACAAGACGCATTCAGGATATGGTGCACACCCTGCAAGGGGTCCTGAGATTCTTATAAAATGTGGAAAGTGAGAAATTTGGCATTAACTCCAGCACTGTATAGAGTGCTTTATGACACGAGAGAAGATTGGCATTGCTCAATAGAAAAATGACGAGGTGTGCAAGTGTTAAATGGTCACAAAAGCCAGGTTTTTGTGTTTTGTATAAAAGGCATAATTAGAAATTTCCATTTAAAAACCCCAAAACACTAAAAAGAAAAAGTATTCTTTAAAGTTGCTTCAAATATGAATTCTGTAAGTTACCTTTCTGTGCCTCTCTTAAACTTTTTCTAGCAAAAGTTTTTTACTGAGTAAAACAGAGTTAAAGATGGATATAGAAAGTAGAAATTAAAAAGGAGCCCCTGGCAGCAGGAAGAGGAATGGATGATATGAAAAATTATTTCTACTTTCAAAAAAAGGGGAAAAAAAGGTAACTTGGAAAAGGAAGCTTTAAAGGAAAGGCTGTAAACTCAAAGGCTTCACCCTCATGAAAAATAAAGCAGAACTCTTTGAAAAGCTATAACATGTATCCCTATTGCATCTTATAAACAATCACTCGTTCTCTTGTTTAGCCGGAGTATGCAAACGTCTGCTTCTGGTACATTCCACCAAGCTTACGAAAAATGGAGGATGGACCTGAATTTTGGCAAAAGCTGCACCAGGTGAGTGTCATGTGTTACCTGAGGCTTACTGACTTATCTTTGTGCCAGATAAGATTGTGAAATAGCCCTCAGCTTTGCTCACCATTATAACCAATCGGTAGACTGGGGATTTAATCCTTGAATAGATGTGGGTAAGATTTAAGTTTTTTTCTTGGTTTTGACAAATCTAATTAATATTTTTCTTACTATAAGAGATGTAAGCATTAACAAATATTCAGCTTGCTATCCAAGCTGTTGGCAGCTGGCAGACTGAGAGAAGAGGAACAGTGTTGGCGCATCTCTTGTCTAGACAGATTATTCATTACCTGTTTAATATACTTAGTGCTGTCCTTGGAACCTGGCTTGCATTATCTCTCATAATCTATGGTAAGACAAGCAAGGAAGTGCCTAAGAATATATTTCTGATGTTGAACATAAATGACAACATGAATACAATGGGAAAAGACTGTGGGAAAAACTTCCCAGATGAGTGTTTTGGTAACTCTTTGTCATCCTGATAGAAAATCATGAACATTTTGGAAAAAAAGCAGCAATAAAATTTTGAATTTACTAGTGGAGAATCATTAATTAAGACTTAATTAAGAAGCCACTAGACATTGTGGTATTATGTTTTACTGAATAACTTATTCTGTGAGGAATTGAATTTAATTCATCGTTTGCTCATCTATGGAAGAGCTTTGGTGTTCTGTATTTATTTTTTTCATAGGATTTGCTACTAGAAACTTAAACTAGACCAAAGATGTGTATATCATCTGCATGCTATGTAAACAAGCTTACATGCTTTATATACATGCTTCCTGTAACATCTGCTCTCATTTCAGCAGCTTTCACAGGAATTACTTTCAATTTTGGCTGGTGTTTTTAGGAGGAAGATCTTCCTTAACCCCATCTGTATTGTTTTGAAAAGTACACTTTTGTAGTACAGATGCATGCATAGCTGCAGTACGGATGCAAGGGCGTGGAATTTACCATGCTTTCACAAAGTTATGTTCCTTTTGTTTGGGGCTTCCTGTCCTCTCTTTAGAATGGAAGGCTTATATATGAATATGTGTGTATATATATATGTGTGTGTGTATGTCTGTATGTATACAGAGCTGTACAACAGCTCATCTACTCATGGAGGAGTGAGAATTTGGGAAGGAGCGACAGGAAGGCATAGAAGAAACAATGCTCCAACTGTCTCTGTTTGATTTATGTGGCTACAGATGGGACCAAGGAGGGAAGGGATGAAGCACAACAAATGGCTTTGAACACGTATATCTGAGTGGCTTATGGAGTGTAACTTACTGGTTCTTTGCTCTGTTACTCTGTGGTACTTCTAGTCAGGGTAGGGAATAGATACCTGCCTTTATTTTATGTACCAATACAGATAGACTGATTCTGGAAGTACAGATTTCCTAGCCAGTGTTTTTGGAAAAGAACTTAGAGGGAAAGAAGCTTGCATGCAATTTCTTCCAAGAACTGACCTCTGCTGCAGATCTCAACCACTCTTTTCATGGGCAAGGTGACATTTTCTTGATTCTTATATCTCCTCTGATGAAAACCTAAGAAATCCCAAATCTTAAGACATGAAATATTTCACTCTTCTTCCAAAAAGCTTGAAAAACTATGAAATCCTGAATCTTAAGATGTAAACTATTTCACTCTTCCCTACAAATGCCTGAAAAAAAATCTAGCACAAAACAGACCAAAGCTCCCTCGGAGGTGGCACAAATTTCTCTCCTGGAAGAAACAAAAAATTATGATTGTTAGTTGTGTTATTTTAGACACTGCTGGGAAGTAGTTTGACACTACCGAAGTGAGCCTGTTTCACAGTGAAAACATATTATTTCACCTCTCCAATTCTCTACAGGAACAGGTCTGGGGTTACTCTGCTTTTTGGATGCTGAGGGCCAGCTTGGGGTACAACATGTATCAGTGAGCAGATGAGATGACAGAACTGGGTCAGAAAAAATAAGACTGACGACTTTTTCAGCTAAGATCAATTTGTTTTAACATTGCTGATGCAAACAGCATGGTCATTATATTACATTAATCAATACAAATATATTGCTGGACAAAAAGGAATGCATCCTGATCAGCAAGGTGTAAATGATAAGAGCATTAAGGCTGAAGAGGTTGTTACATGGTGCTGTTGACAGACAGATGGGGCTGTGAGGATTTCTTGATTGCAAGCAGTTCCTGAATATTCCCATAATATCACTAAAATGAGCATTAAAATGCTTTAATTCACAATTTCTCTTTTACACCACATTTTAACATCACAGTTACTCTGTTTATCCAGAAATCAATCTTCCTTTTTGTTGACCTGCATAACTGACGATAATTAAGGAAACATATGTCTTAAAAATCCCTAGGGCAAGCAATTGATTTTATTCAACTACTTGTTCAGCAATATTGTTCAGAATAACATGCTGTCTTCTAAGACTAGTTATATGAGTTTTAATGCTGGTGAAAGTTGATAAGCAAATTGTTCAGATATAAAATCCTCAGTTTTGTGAAGAATTTGCATAGTCCTATGCAAAATAACCCTGGAGGTTTTCTGCTGTACTGGCTCTTCTCCAGTTTCCATGGCCCACTTTATATGGAAATGTGTCAGGACTGACTGGATGGTAGCGTGATACCTGATTCTGTCAGCCTTCTTGTTGTCCTACATAGAATGTGTCTCTCAGAAGCTTACTTTTTTTTTTTTTTTTTTTTTTTTTTTTTTTTTTTTTTTTTTTTTTTTTTTGGGTAGGCTGTTTGTTTTAAATTCTTGAGCCTTCAACTTCAGGTGTGAAATTTGTGCTCTTCAGTCTCCTACATTCAAAACAGAAAGGTGATAGATGCCTGAAAGATTTGTAACAGCCACTAACTGGTCATTTGATTCATCCCCTGAACAATTTAGGGAGTGAGAAAACAACACAGTGGTGGGGGAAGTAACGAGCAGCATGAATGGTACTTTCCTCTGTTTTGTGTGAAATTGGGTATTCTGTGCACATCCACAGTCTGACACCACTTTGATGTTTTGGGATTACAGCAGGAGTTGGCTGTGTAGTGAAACCAGTCCTATAAACAGTGCAGCAAGGCTTTGGATGCAGTTAGATGGTCCAAGACAGAGAAAGCCCTGAACACTGAGCAGGCTGTACAGCCCATAAACGATACAGCTGTGTAAGGTGTTTTCCAGTGCCATCCTTCACAAGTGAGGAGAGATTTCTTCTTGTAGAAACCATGCAAACGGGCCCTCGGTGGTACGGAGGAGTTGCCGGTAGATCCGACTAGAAGTGTCTCTAAGTGATGTTATTTTGTCATTGCGGACTGGGGGCTGCTGTCTCTGACCTGGAACTGACAAAATTGTCGGGATGAAGGAGCGATGGCTTTGCTAGTGCTGTATGCGCCCCCCAGTGGGAATTTCACTCCTTTTCCTTTGGTGACACACCGTAGGATTTATTTTGTTTACTGCTGAGAATGGTCGCTGTGTCTCAGGGTCATGGAGACAAAAGCTGAACTGGAAATTGCAAGCCAGAAATGGGAGTTAGGGAAGAAGTAAAAACGCATAAGCAGATATAATTTCAATTTTCATATTTTCTCCATACCAACAAATATCTTTGCATATTCTTTCTCATAACAATCTTATCTTTAGAAAAGCCAGCTTTCTCAGCTTATACTGAAAGGCTGCAGATGATGTAGAATTAGCTGATTGTTAATGATAGCATCTCTGGAAAGCCTCCTGGCAGCACAGAGGATGCTAGGGCACAAGGAAGAGTTTGAAGGGATGCATTTGGAACTATCTTATTGCTAGCCAGCCATCTCTTACTCATTCTGGATCAGTTTCTGCTGAAACTCAGACTTTAGTCTTGCAGACTAAAAGACAACACAGAAGTAACTGTCTTTAACAGACCCCTCCTCCTGCAGGATCCTGGCCTTGCCAAAGGATCCTGGAGCATAACTGTAGGTAGAGTACTATGTAATAAATGCTGCTCAGTAAAGGAGGCTAGTGGTTTATTGCTAAGTACCACTTTAGACCTTCAAAATCTACCGTCAAAGAGTGGCAGTAGGTTTCTAGTAAGTCTTTTGTGATTTACTAAACTTTGCCTGCTTTGTAGTTCTAAAGAACGTATGCTGGAGTATTAGATTTCCAATGGTTCATAAAGCTTTTATATACAGTTGTTAGTTTCAGTAACTCAGAATTCTAGCATCTCAGTTTCAGACTCTACTTGTGTGGTGCAGTTGGTGTGTTTTGGTTTTGTTTTGTTTCCTTCCTTTCCTTTTGAGGATTTTTGGCCAAGTAATACAAAATTTATTTGCTCTAATGGAAGGCTCAGGATGCAAAGTCATATTAAGGTAGTAATGTCCTACTAAAGCCTGGATGGCTTGGAATGCCATTTTGCCCCTCCTCTCTTCACCTTAGTAAAAGGCTTATTCCAGCCTTTCTCTCCTGTTTAGGAGAAGAATATATCTGTTTTCTGAAGACATATTCGTAAAATAGATTGTCATGCTGAATGGTGTTGTGATACATTTGCGTAATGAGAGATTTCATATAAAAGCATAAATGTAAGGAGGGTGAAGAGGGGTTGCCTTGGCAACCCCTGGATGTTGTAGTCTTAATCAAGGACCAGAGTCAGCTGTATTTATATATTCAAAATACCTATTGATTATGGTACAAGATTTGAATAGCAAGGGAAAACAAGACCTCCGGTTGGCTATATTAAAAAAATTCGTCCTCTGCATTTTGGAAGAACAAGAGAAAAACAACATAAGTTATAACCACAATATTAAATGCAGTGAAAATCAGGTTTATGCATAAGAAAGGTCCCAAACATGTCACTGCAAGTGTATTTCTACTTGGGATTTTTGGGCAAAATGTTATTTGATTTGCTGCAACTCTGTGTACCACACTTTGAGTTTTTCTTACACTTGAACACGGAAACAATTAAACAATACTTTAATATGTGTGTTTGAAGAGTAATGACAGAGACGATTTCTGTGATCTTTCCTTACATAAATTACTTTTATGATAG